AGAGTGGAGTGGACAGGTTGGTGTGGGTGATTTGAAGATCTACAGGAGAGGTGGGGAATGTCCAGCCTTCCGGTTAGCTGAATCGTGGGGCACCAGCGAGCCCCCTGCCAGACTACCACGCTAGTGGGTGCTTCGGAAGTCAGGCTCGTCCCCTGCTGCTCCCCTTCCCAGCTCAGGCTGATGCAGTTTTCTAAGCCCCTGGTGTCACTAGGGCCTACTAAAGGCTCCCGGACACACTTGAGTGATTCTGTTTTCAGAAAGGAGCGCCACTGTTTTATACTATGCAAGGAATCTCTATGGGGAGGAAGGCTCCCAAGCAGTGTTCAGGTGTCTGTAGGTCACACCCAGTGATACTCAGCAGATCGGTGCTAGGGCCCTGCGGTTCCTGGGCTCCACCAGGGTTGCCCTGGCAGTGTTCAGGGGCCTCTAGGGCTATACCTGGTAACGGTATAGAGGCCACGTGGTGACAGGGATTCAAGCAGACCACATGTGCTCCCGAACCCTTAACTAAATGGATGTTTGAAATTTCTCACATCCATTTCAGCTCGCCAAGGAAATAAATACCATGAGCTAAGCTCCCCTCCTCACTTCCTTTTTGACATGATTCTCTTCTCCAACTGGATGTTTTTACTTTACACCCTCCTCTCCGAAATCATCTCAAAATTTAAGCAGTCATTAAAACAGAATAAAAGTTTTAGTTGAGTGTACTCCTAAGATATAGCTTGCTCAAGGCACTTGCCTTGCATGCAACCAACCCAAGTTCGATTCCTGGCATCCCATATGGTCCCGTGAGTCCCACCAGGAGTGATACATGAATGCAGATTTCTGGTACCAAGAATAATCCCTGAGTATCATTATCGCCAGGTGTGGCCCAAAAACACAAATTAGACAAAACAAAAAATAGATGTTATTTATCTGGGGCCAGAGCTATAGTACAGTGGGTAGGACACTTTCTTGCCTTGAATGTGACTGAACTGGGTTTGATCTCCGGCATCCCATATGATCTGCTGATCACTGCCATGAATGATCACTGAGCACAGAGCAAGGAGCATGCCCTAAGCACCACAAGGTGCGGTCCCCAAACAAAAACAAATCAAAAGTTTTAGTAGAGACTCGTTAAAAAGAGCTAAATGGGGCTAGATGGGGCTGCAAAGAAAGTTCAGTGGGATGAAGCACTTATTTTGCATGCAGGAAATGTGGTTTTAATCTCTAGCACTGTATGATCCCAAGTATTCCCAAGTACTGTCAGGAGTGCTTCCCAGCACAGAGCTAGGAGTAGCCCCTGAATCACAGCAGTGTGGCCCCAAAACAAAGCCAAAAGAAGCTCATCTGAGCCAGGGAAGTGGCTCAAAGGACTGTAGAGCATCCTCTGCATGTGGGAGCTCAAGGCCTCCTTGCCAGCACATGGGATCCCCTGGGCTTCTCTGGGACCACCCTGACCCCTAGCACCATGCTGGGGGTTGTCCCCAGAACCACTGGCTGGGACTCCAAAACAAAAATGAACATGGATTTTAAAAGTAGGTAGACCTAGGATGAGCATGAGAGTGAATCCAACACAGGAAGTGAATGAGGCACAGATGTTCAACTCTTGGGTCTTTCCACCTCATTGGAAGATCAATTTTGAATGTGCATAGTTAATGTAAAGATGAGATGATATCCAATAAAAAAAAAGCTCAGAGTATCAACATTGAATTTGCTTTTCCAATTCAGTTTTTCATTTGATAGATAAAAGATTTCTGTGCTAGAATGAAATAGAACATTTGCCTTGCAGGTGGCCAACCCGTGTTCAATCCTCTGAACTTGCCAGAAGTCGTTTCTGAACACAGAACCAGGAATATGACTGAACACTCCGGGTGTGGCCCAAAAACAAAAGACAAAAATATATATATATATTGGCATACTAGCTTTAATTTGCATGTTGAAGTTACAAGTAAGAGTAAATATTCCCTATCAGAATTATTTTCCTTACAAGCTATTTCACCTGAATTTATAGTAATTCCCATATGGTGGTGTTTTTTTACAAAATAAAAACCGAGACACATACATGTAGATATTCTAATTGTTGCCTTATTCTCCCCTAGGCATCCTCACAAAGCAAAGAAACTTATGCTTAATTAACTCTAACATATAATATGTGATCATTTAAATTGAGGAGCTGCCTGATATGTTTTGGAATTTTAATGGGCCTTATTATTGCCAGCTGTCTCATTTACATTAACTAAATAATTTTAGAATTCTGTGGAAAAGAATCATCAAGAAAAATAAATACTCAGGGCTGGAGACACAGCATAGCAGGGAGGGCACTTGCCTTGCACACAGAGAACCCAAGGTTGATCCCTGGCAGCACATAAAGTCCCTGAATACCACCAGGAGTAAGCCCTGAGCACTACCAGGTATGGCCCAGTGCCCTCACCCAGCCCCCATCATAACTGGGGGAGGGGGGCGGGTGGGAGGGGGGAAATAGCAAATGTCTCCAAATATTTGGGCTGGAAAGAGCTAACTCAAACTGGCTGAGACAGGAAGTTAATGAATGAGGTCATAAAGAAAAGACTGCTGAGCACAGGGGGGCAAGGAAGAAAGGGAGAGGGGTAAGAAGAAGGAAGGAGGGAGGGAGGGAAGGAAGGAAGGAAGGAAGAAGGGAGGGAGGGAAGAAGAAGGAAGGAGGGAGGGAGGGAAGGAAGGAAGAAGGGAGGGTGGGATGGAAGAAAGGGAGGGAGGGAAGGAGGGAGGGGGGAGGCCATTCATTGTTTCAACCAGTAATTGGCAGATGTCAGGCAGGGACTAAGCATTGAATTTGAGAAATATATAAGATCATACAGGGTCTCATTTCAAAAGCATTTCCAGAGACCAGGAGATAGTGCATGGCTTAAGGCACTTGCAGCCAACCCCAGTTTCATCCCTGAAATCACAGATCCCTCAGTACCACCAGGAGTGATCCCTGTATGCAGAGAAGGGGTAAACCCTGATCGCTGCCAAGTGTGGCAAATACCCTCACCACCAAAATAGATCAATAAAACTGTGTCCTAAAGATTTGGGCTGGAGAAGATGCAGGAGTTGTAACTGATACTGGCTGAGACAGCTCTCGTCAAGAAGCTGTGGAGGACAGGGCTGTGTTGCAGAACTGGCATGACCCCATGATCCAGTGGTGCGTTCCAGGACACACTCTTTTCATCTCTGCTTTGTTTTGTCACTCACAGTGTCCGCTCCTTGCCCAGACCGGTTTTCTTCTCATAGTGGCCGCCTACATGCTGCTTTGAGCCTGAGAGGGAGGGAGCATTGGTGGGGTTCTTTTAGGCTCCAGGAAGAACTCAGTCTCCATAAGCCTCCAGAAAAATCTCTCTTAGTGTAACTTTTGCCAGAACTGAAAGTCATGCCCATTTTGGAAAGGATGCGTGCGTCCACCTGATAGTAGAGAACAGGGACCGGCTTTTTCTAAGGTGCATCCGTGGGGAACATAGTTAGTTACCAGGGGAAAGGGCCTTAGACTGGGAAGGACAGAAAACAGGAGTGAGTTCAGGTGAGGTGACTTCATTTCAGACAATGAGACAAACTATTTTATTCAAACTCTATTTTCCACTTTAGAGTAAATACCATGGTTTACCAAGTTGTTCATGATGATTTGTTACAGGCACTTAATATTCCAACCCCAATCCCCTCACCACTGTCACCTTCGCTCCACCATTGTCCCCATTTTCCCAACCACTCCTCCAGCCTGCCCCTGTAGCAGGCCCAAAATAAATTATTTTATGTTGTGGCTTGGAGCCAGCTACACATGCTAGGGGAAACAGCAGCTCAGATAGAGAAGGGAGCACCAAATAAAGGGTGTTGGAAGGATCCTCCCAGGATGGGAGAAGCATGCTGAAAGTAGACTATAGACCAAACATGATTGCCACTCAATGCCTCTTTTGCAAACCACAGCACCCAAAAGGAGAGAGAGAACAAAAGGGTATGCCCTGCCACAGAGGCAGGGTGGGATGGGGGGGATGGGGGGTGAGAGGGATACTGGGATCCGTGGTGGTGGTGGTGGAAAATGGGCCCTGGTGGAGGGATGGGTACTTGAACATTGTATAATTGAAACCCAAGCACAAAAATTTGTAAGTCTACAACTGTACCTCATGGTGTTTCACTAATAAAAAATTTTAAAAAATAAAAAATAAAAATAAATTATTTTATGTTGCTTGTGACCACTTAATGTCTAACAGAATGATCAAAAAATATTTCTGCAAAAGAAAATTTGTAAAAATTGTTGTATGTCACCAGGGGAACATTAAGTCCTTGTCTGCGGGTTTACTAAGCTGTTGTTGCAAGTCAAGCCTTCTGGTGTTAATGTTTTGTTAGTCAATATTGGTTGGCTTCTGTGTTATTTTCGATCCAATCTGGTGTGCTACTACCTAGGATCTCAGTGTTATGGAATTTGGAGATGTCAGCTCCAGAAAATCCAGACTATTTAACTGGGAAGTTGGGGTTGGAGTGATAGCACAGTGGGTAGGGTGTTTGCCTTGCACGCAGCCAAGCCGGGTTTGATTCCCAGCATCCCATATGGTCCCCTGAGCAACGCCAGGGGTAATTTCTGAGTGCAGAGTCAGAGCCAGGAGTAACCCCTGTGCATCGCCGGGTATGACCCAAAAAGCAAAGAAAAAAAAAACTTAACTGTGAAGTTAACAGAGCAGTTAGTTAACTCTGCATGGCTGCCAGGTCTTCTGGGAGTCTGGGGTGGAGTGGGGGAGGTCACCCACCCTGAGTCTTCAGCAGATTAGGTTCTCTGTGACACTTAGTCTGAGCCACTGGGGTCCAGCCAGAGACATGGTTTTAGCCTTGGATGTAGGGGTGGCTTCCGGGGCTTTGTTTGGGCAGGACCTGGCCCACCCTACCCCCACCCGCTAGTCCCCTCCCCCAGTCACCCCAGAGGAAGGAGACAAATTCTAGGTGTGAATCTGTTCCGTTTGTTGGGTCCACTGAGTGAAGAATGACATCTTGGCCTTCTCGTTGATGTCCCATAGGATCAGAGTGGCCCCGACACGGCTGACTGTGAGGAAGATGGCAGCCTCGATGTGAGCATTAAACAACTGTCTGAAAGTGAGAGCTCCAGACAGGTGAGACTCGTGACATTTTATCTTTTCTGTTTTCAATCTGCACCCAGATTAAAAACGGGACCAGGGGGTCATATTCAGGCCTCACACATGCTAGGTATGTGGTCTACCGCTCAAACTATATTCCCACCTTCCTGTGAGAATTTAGGGGGAGAGGAGGCTTTATGGTTATCTTGTACCACTGTGGGAAAGACCAGCAGTTGTGTTTGCTGTTTTAGGAGCTTTGAACTCAGAACATGCGGGACAGATACCCCCTTCCACCCCTTTCATCCCAGAAAACAGCCAGCTGGCACTGTTTTCTTCACTATTCAGTTGTGCTCTCTTGAGACAAAATAAATCTCTCTTTCGTATCTTTTTTTTTTAATCTTGTTAAGTATTGAAAACTGTCAAGTGAGGGCTGTGCTGAATTGATCCTAGAGGCAGAGACAGAAAGTAAATCGATTCTACTGATTTATGATAAAAATGCTAAAACTCACCCAGGAGCGAAAGCCTGGGAAGAAGTTGTTTTAGAGCCTCCAAAAATCAGAATTTGTGATACTTTGCTATTTAGTCCTTGTACTTTTTTCTGGAAACCTGGTGCTGGGCTCATTTCCTAGACCTTGTTGTGTGGGAATGCCGGAGACTGGACCGGAGTCTCTGTCCTGGCTTCTGCACGTAATCCCCACTTCTCTTTTGCCACTTGACATTCCCATCGTTAGCCTGCAGGTTCTAGAAAGAAATGTCACCCTGTTGTCCCAGCGTTTCAAAATGTCTTGCAAATCTCAAAGAATGAATCACTCAGGAAGGTCACCTTGATTTTATGAGAATGTGGAGGTGTTCATTGTACCCCTGGGGGCTTGGGAAATCGTTCATTTATCTTCTTTCAACTGTGAGGAAAGATAGATGAGGACTGACTTCAGACTCTGTGCCCGAGAAAGGGAACCGATTCTCTTTGTCCACAGGGAAAGGCCTCTGGGGTGCTCCAGGAATATATGCTGGGGTCCCCTTGGACAAACCTTGTAAGGCACTGAGGCAAACCTGCGGAGAGCTGGGGCTCACGGCACATTCTGAGCTCTGTTCTCACACCAGCCCCTCTAGGTAACCTGTGTCCTTTCCCAACAGGAACTTGCAGTTTGCACTAAAGACAAGGGAGAGGTGGAAGAATAAATGTCCCTCTCAAGGCTACTCATTTAAAAATTTTATTAACAAAGGGGGCTGGAGAAACACTATAGAGGTAAGGCACCAGTTCCATCGTGGTGCCACATAGAGTAGGTCAGGTGCACCTGAGGCACTCTTGAGCAGAGAGCCAGGAATAACCTCTGAGCACTGCCAGATGTGGCCCAAACCCATACCTCCTCCAGAAAATAGTTTTAACTAGGACTGTGGAGAGAGCCCATAAGGGCTGAGCACATGCTTTGGTGTGGGAACCCCCAGTACCACGTGACCTGAATGACAGGGGCCCCATGCAGCATCTTAAAAGCACTATTTCCAGGAGTGGCCCCCAGACCTCCTGAGCACTGCTTGAAAGGACAAAAATCAGGGCCAGAGAGGTAGCTCAATGGACAGAACACACATGCTTTGCAGACAGGAGGCCTGGGTTCACTCCTCCGAGCACCACCAGACAACCCCCAAGCTGAGCTGGAAATAGGCCCTAAGTACTGCTGGGTGTGGCCCCTCAAAAGAACCAAACAAGGGCTGGAGAGATAGCACAGCGGGTAGGGCATTTGCCTTGCACACAGCCAATCCGGGTTCAATTCCCAGCATCCCATATGGTCCCCTGAGCACCGTCAGGCGTAACTCCTGAGTGCAGAGCCAGGAGTAACCCCTGTGCATCACCAGGTGTGACCCAAAAAGAAAAAAAAAACACAGAAAAGTGGCAGTAAGACAGCAAAACATCTCATTCCAAACCTAGGGGAGGGATCCTAGCACCATGGCCTTCACCACTAATCTTTCAGGAGAAGAAGGGTGGCTTCTGAGCTTGGCAAGAAGAGGAACCAATCCACGTGGATAGATATGGATAGATGTATTTAGTTATGGATAGGTGTAGATAGGTATGGATAGGTATGTTTACGTATAGATAAGTGTGGATAGGTATAGATAGGTGTAGTTAAGTATGGATAGGTATGGATAGGTGTGTTTAAGTATAATACATGTGGATAGGTATGAATAGATGTGGATAGGTATGGTAGGTAAGGATAGGTGTGGATAGGATGGATAGGTATGGATAGGTATGGTAGGTGTGGACAGGTATGGATCGGTGTGGGTAGGTATGATAGGTGTGGATAGGTATGGTAGGTGAGGATAGGTGTGGATAGAAGTGGGTAGGTATGGTAGGTGTGTGTAGGTACGGACAGGTGTGAATAGGTAAGTGTTTGACTCTTGTTGGAGCAACAGTGGCCTAGAGTAAAATTTAAACAGTAGAAATCAAAGAATTGAGATTATAGACAATGAATCTCAGATTATTGTCTTACTTTTTATACTCTGTTCAAATATACATCCCCACAGCAAGTTGTCACGGTCACGGTCCTCCTGTTGTTCATTGATTTGCTCCAGCGGGCCCAGTAACGTCTCCATTGTGACACTTGTTACTGTGTTTGGCATATCAAATATGTCACAGGTAGCTTGCTAGCTTGCCAGGCTTTGCCGTGCGGGTGAGATACTCTTGGTAGCTTGCCGGGCTCTCCGAGAGGGGCGGAGGAATCAAACCCGGGTTGGTTGGATTGGCCACATGCAAGGCAAACACCCTACCCGCTGTGCTATTGCTCCAGCCCTGCTATTGCTCCAGCAAATTGTAGCTAAGCTTATATAAGGGCTACCTTCATAGAGGATCCTCTGAAGAGCTCTTAATGCCTTTGCCCAGGTTACCTATTTCCATAGTCAAGTTAAAGCCTGTCGGTCCCCCTGCTTCAGTGCTCTTGCCATTACTGCATGCTGGTGGACTTGTTTCCTATCTCAGGTGTCCCCCGACACACAACCGAGAAGTGTATCAGAATCCCAGAGGTATTAGGTCTCTCTCAAAAACTGTCAAGGGTGAAACTTGTTTTTAGGCAGCTGATCAGACGAGGGTTTGTGAATCGTAGATTCAGTGGTGAGAGACTGGGGCAGGGAAGTGTCTGGAATCTATTTCAGAAATTTAGGTGAGAGCCTGCTAAAACTTATTTTTTAACCTTTAAAAAGGAACATTACAAAAGCTATTTGCAAACTTGCAAACCCAAGTCTCATCATTATTATCTCACTAGTTTATTATTTTAATGTGTCAATTTTCCCCTAAAATACTATTGTTTATTTGCAATCTTATTCCATCTCATCCCCAAAATAATCTTATGGGGGGGGGGGGGGACATAAGGCAGGAATTATTTAGACCTTAATCTGCTCAGTAAAAGGTCACAGAACCAGAAATGGGAAGGATTGTCTCTCAGCCCTGGTGTCTGCAGAGGGTGACTCCCTAAAACAGTGCTTTTTCTCTTGGTGGTTATTCTGTTGAGAATATCTGCATGAGTATGGTGTGCTCTTTTGAAGTACTATATTTCAATTCTTTTCCCCCGCCCCCTATTTTTATTGAAATATGATCTCCAACACTACTAATTATACTTTTCAAGGGAGCAGGAGAGATAGTGTAGGGATTCAGGGACTTGCCTTGCACTGCAGCTGACCTGGTTCACATCTCCAGCACCACCGGTGGTCCCCTGAGCACCACCAGGAGTCACTCATGAGCACAGAGCCGGAAATGGCCTTTAAGCAGCACCTTATGTGGCCCTCAACACCTTCCCTAATAAATGAACTTTTTCCTAAAAGATGTGATTACACTTCTCGTGCATACATTGTCCTAATTACCCCCATCACCAGCATACCCACTTCCCTCCAGCAGTGCCTCAAGACTCCTTCCCAGCCCCTGCCCCGGTAAGTAAGCTCAGATCTATAGAGAAAGTGCCAGTTCTGATGCCTTTAGCCATTTGTTCCGTTAGGATGTTTCTTTCTATCCCCCATATGTGACCGCCTTCTCCACCAGTGCCCCACCCCCACTTTCTCTAATTGAATCACTGAGATACACAGTTACAAAGTTGTTCATGATTGGGTTTCAGTCATACAGTGCTCCAACACCATCACCCTTCCCTTCACTACTGTACATTTCCCACCACCAATGTCCCCAGTCTCCCCCCCCCCCCGCCCCCAGCCTGCCTTGATGGCAGACACTTTTCTGGTGGGGAGGGGAGCGTTTTAAAATATATTATTATTATTGTGGGGCGGAGCGATAGCACAGCGGGTAGGGCGTTCGCCTTACAAGCGGCCAACATGGCCGACCCGAGTTCGATTCCTCCGCCCCTCTCGGAGAGCCCGGCAAGCTACCGAGAGTATTCGATATGCCAGACACAGTAACAACAAAGTCTCCAATGGAGACGTTACTGGGCCCGCTCGAGCAAATCGACGATCAACGGGAGGGCCTTTTATTGTGGTGGTGGTGGTGGTGGTGGTGACACCTGTACACATGCAGAATAAAGCTAAATTCCTATGTCATTCATTTCTTAAGAGTATAAACATTGGAGCTAAATTGAATTCAGATCCACCATTGACTGGCAAAGTAACTTTAAGCAAATGACTAAATTTTAGGACCTCCATTTTTCCATCTGTAAAATGGGAGAAAGGGCCACCATGACAATGAAAGTCAGTAAATAAAGTCAGAAGAGCCATGTAGAGCCAGACTCACATTCAGGGGGATTCCTGGCTAAGGGAAGGCTTCCAGGGTGCTACATATGACGATGTTATTCTGAGGAAAGCATTAGCAATTAGCCACGTGCCAGTGATCTGTCCCAAGTGAAGTGTTCACATATTACATGGAAAGCGGAAATGAAATTTCCCGCCTGACGCATGCCGTTGTCAGTAATAATATATCACATTGACTGAGTGCCTCTGTACCAGGCTCTGGTCTAAGCTCATTTACATGGCACTTTTACAGGGTTCAACTTAGCATTGAGAAGAGCTACACCCAGATGTTCTCAGGGATAACTCTCAGTGACTTTGCACTC